TAAAAGAAAACAAAATTAAAACAAAAAACCCAAACAAACAAACACCCCTCCCCAAATCCTAGAAATACTTAGCAGCCACAGATAATTTCAACACTGTTGCTTGCCAATCACAGACTATTCTGAGTTGGAAGGGACCTACAAGATTCATCAAGTTAAGCTAGTTTTACCTCAATCTTCAATTACTACTTTAGACAAAAGAGAGTTCTTTTTCTGCCTCTCATAACTACATCTACAAACATTCTTACAGGCAAGTGTTTTTTACACTTAAACCAAAAAATCATTTCTGAACTGGTCCTCCACAGCCACTCCCAACCCTCTTTTTCTCATTATAGCTCCTACCACCACACTCTCAAACCTCACCTGTGTACCAAATCCAACCCATTTCCCTCTGCACGAGCACTCAAAACCATAAGAGCCTCTTGGAAAACAAAAACCGAACCTTGCTAAAACAAGAAGAAACATCAAGAAAGGAGGCAGACTATACAAAATAGCACTATACCTGTTGTTCCTGTTGCAGTACAGAAGCAAAACCTTGCATGTGGCATCCAAAGACAAGTTCTGCAAAAGGAGTCCCCAGCTAGGAGTTTTCAATTATCCCTCTTTCCTACCGACCACCTGTGCAGTCAGCTGGTAGAACCTGTGCTTGGTTTATCACATGCCACACAGGCAACTCTAGTTCCCTTTTTAAGAAGGTCACTTTGCAAAAGCATTCCTAGTATTCTTAAAAATGTCAGCATCTTTCTGGAAATAAATATGTATTTTTCCCATAAAGCACATGGAAATCTTTATATTACAGCTGCAAAACACATGACAACTGCTGTTAACAAAATTAGGGGTATAATATAAACATGCCTTCAAATTACAAAAATCCTTGCTCATTGTCATAGTCCTCTAGCACTAGAAATATGTACATTCTCTCTAATTAATTTCTGCCAGTTTTATCATTTTAAAGGAGTGCCAGCTATTTGTTCAGAATTTATGTGAGCACCACTAATGAGCAAAAGGGAATACAGCTGGGAAGTAGAGGAGAGTTCCAGGTGACTGGTGTCTGTGATTAGCCCCGAGTTGGTTTTTTGCTTATTATATTTTCTCAATAGTTTATGTATAGAGGATTTAGAATCATTAGACCATTAATGTTTGAAAAAAGCAATTGTGTTGAAGTTTGGAGTAAAGGGGAAGGGGGGGGGGGCTAGAGAGGGGGAGAAAAGAGAAGGAAATAGAGTGGGTGTGGAGAGGGAGACAAAAATTCTGACCATGAGATGATGAGATGGCCATTCTGGACATGCAGATGGTTAGGGGCATGGCTGACAGAATTGGGTTGTTCAGCCTGGAGAACAGAAGGCTCCAGGGAGACCTAATTGAGGCATTGCAGCACTTGAAGGGGGCCTATAAGACAGAAGAGATGTTAGCAAGGTTTGTTGCAATAGGACAAGGGATAATGGTTTTAAACTTGAGAAGGGTTGATTTGATTGAATACAAAGAAGATGCTTTTTTTCAATGAGGGTGGTGAAACACTGAAACAGGCTGCCCAGACAGGTGTTAGATGTTGGATGGGGCTCTGAGTAGCCTGATCTAGTCGAAGATGTCTCTACTTATTGCAGGGGGGCTGGACTAGATGACTTTTAAAGGCCCTTTCCCCCTCAAACTACTCTCTGATTATTACTGTGACACAGTATTAAGGAAAACAAAAACTTTAACAGAATACTTACTTCATCTTTACCCATGCCCCATCTTCAATAATGTTATCTTCAACCCCTTATCTTCAATAACATGCCAACTCAAAAAAATGGTCCCAGGGAAGTGGTGGAGGGCACCAGAATTTGATACAGTAGTGATTTGGCTTGTTCAAGCTAACAATATATAAGATAAATATATGCCTGATGTGACTACTGTAATATGAACCTTTACCAATGTGCGTAGAATGGGACTCTTCAGGCTAAAGGCTATTGGCTTGTTTGTTGGAATGAAGTTTAAAATGTTTTAAAAACAGTTTTTAACTGTTTTCATGAAAAAAACCTCCCTCCCAAAATAAAAGAAGCCAAATAAAGCAGAAGAACTTTTCTATGTATTTTCTGACACAAGTTTGGAGTAAGATTGTTCTCCAGTACCTGAATTTTCCATTTAAATAGTTTTCATTTTACAGAACTGTTCCTGCAAAATCTATCATCTTGAAAAATTTTTCAGAAGAGTTAACATTTTCAACATTTGGAAGTCTATTTGAATCTGGCTGGTAAGCAATATATTAGCTAGCTTTAATTTCATTGCTCAGAAGAAACATTAAAAGAATAAACAACTAATAGAACTAATGTATTTTCTCAATGTCTTTCTATTTTCAATATCTACTGTGCCAATCCATTAATAAGGTTGTATGTGCAGGGGAACAGAGCTCTAAATACAGATTTTTAAAAGCCATCTTCCTTTCCTGCATAGGGTTTTCAGTGGTGTGCTGCATGATTTTGATGGTAAACTACTTTAAGAATTTTCATTTTTCAGTCCTTACACAAGAACCATCTCCAGAATCTCAATAAAAAATTGCTATCTGAAATTCATTGTAAGTGTTTCCAGTTCATACCTCCACAAAAGGATTTCAAGCCGTTTCCCATTAAGTAAATTACTTGCCAAGGAATACCTCATTTGTACACATCACTACATAAATCACCAATATTTAGTTAGCAATACATCAGAGAGAACAATCGGCTGCCAACAATACTACTTCTTTTTATGAGATATATAAGAACAGACAAGAGTAAGTAAATGCCATGTTTCCATACAAATGTTCTTTTATAATGTTCTTTTTATAAACGGTTTGCTAATAGTCACAACAAAATACAGTAGCTTTTACTTTTCGAAAGCCTTTTCACTTTTTTGTAGAGAACATCTGAGGAATTTGCCTCCTTATACCCTGAACCAAGAAGAGAGGAAATAAGCCTGTCCTGCTTGGTGGCTCAGAAGTGAAGAGCAAGCTACTACAGCATCATTAAGTGCTCACCTATGCTGGCCTTTCCCTCAGGATAAGCCCAAGTTCTTCTCTCTGAGAACCTGAACTCCGTGATGGTTTCTTCTTCATCCCTCTAAAATGCTCACCTCTAACATAATTTCTCTTCACTGGAAAAGGCTAGTAAAGCTTCAAGCATCCCATTTGAAAGCTACAATTTTTGTGTCTTAAAATGTTGGTCTGCTGGGAGGAATATACCAATTTGGATGAAAGAAGATAAATTTCTCCCTGATGTTTTTTGACAGCAGATCCTTGTCTTTGTGGTTAAAGCTTCTCTTTAAGAGACAGCCATTATATTTATTGGAAGAGTATTGCCGAAGGAATGAAGAGAACAGGTTGAATGCCAAGCCACAAGAAATGTTTCAGTAAACATTTCAAGAATATAATTTATGAATAAACCAACCACGTGTTTGGCAATTAACAACTCCACAACTTTGCCCAATTATTCCTAAAAATATTTTGTTTTCCTTCTGTATGACAGTTTTAAGTTCTCTGTAACAGTCTTTGGAGCAATATACACATTTGATATCAAAGCACAAAAAAACCAGTATGTATTTCAATGTGCTGATTATGCTAATCTGTGGAAAACAGCACAAGTTCAGGGAACTGAAATTCATGTAAATATGCTGCATACAAACGAAAAATTGTCCTAAAATACTCCTGTGAAAATAATGTTTTAGTTTTCGCACTGAGACAAAATTCTGTTTGTAAAGACAAAGGACTTTTTTGAAATTTTTTCAACACCTCTTTGATACACCAACTTCATGAATGTACCAAACAGTCACTTAGGGATAATTCACAAATATTAAAGATGCCTTTTGAAAAGCAAGTTAGTTCCCTCAAAATCCATCTGCTCTTAGATGAACTCAAAACAAAGGGGGAGATTCTGCTCCAGTCTTTTGCATCTCTTCTTTTGCAAGGTTTGTCACATCGCAATTCTCATCATTTTTTCTATTATTTTTTTCTGATTTACAGTATTAAAAACCTCAGTTGCAATTTCAGACTTAGTTTCCTCTTTTTCAAAGTTCCCAGCACATTTAGAACATTCCATGTCTGTCAATAAATTAACTTCTGTCATACTTTGTTTGAAGATATATGTGTACATTAAGAACTATGCCAGGAAGGTGATTGCAGCGTGTGCTCCTTCTGGCTATACGACGATCTAAACCCACTAGTTGATCAGCATTCACAGCTGTAGCTGAGTGAAGGAGGACACAGAGCAGGATGTGCAGCCACAGAGATGCCACTTTTATAGCAGAGGTGCTGACTGAAACTGCTATACACTGCTTCCTACTTTTCCTGGCTGATGCAAATCAGGAAGACTTGTAGGTAGATTCATGTAATTCATGCAGATTACTCAAGCTGGTAAATCTGTCTCAATTACTCTATCTTACCATGGGGAAACCCTCTATTTTGTAAATGTTTTCCCAGACTGTTTTGGACAACATCTGTCCCATTTCTTGCTATGGAAGGTCCCCTCTAATATTAGTTGTCTCAACCCCTTCTGAAACAAGCATGTTCATTCTTTCTGCTGAGCAGATCCCAACAAAAATCAAGAGATTTGTTGGTAGACAGCTTTTCTTTACCTAAAGCTTTTACTTTTCTTACTGACTTATCCTTATGTCTGATGCTGAAAGTCTTAAGACTCATGCTGAATAGATTTCTTTTTATTCTTCCAGTTTGCTGCATTATAAGCAGTTATTAAAATGATCTATAATACAGAACTGGATGGGCTACATCAGTGACACTGAAAACAAGATCTACAGGCTGACTGACAGATAACGAACTATCAGTTTTCCATGTAGCTGTTGGCAGTCCTAGAAAGGACCAAGCTTACCCTACTGTAACAGGCTAAGCATGCATTTAGCAAAATGCTGTAAAACAGGATATAGCTGTTTCCTTCAGGTACCCCCAGAAACTAGCTCCAGAAGGTGTATTTGAGTTCTACAAAAAATAAATAACTATCACAAGTACTTAAAAAAAGCCCAAACACAGGAAGACTATCTTCTGGTTTAAAAATATTTATTTAAAAGAAAAAGAGCTCTATACCCAGATGGCCAGGAAAAAAAATAAAAAAATCCTCAGTTCCGCCTCCCAAAACCATTACTCTGCAATTTACCTTTCCCATAAGTTTCAGCTTTAATGTTTTATTTAAAAAAAAAGAAACCTGAACTTTAATTTCCTTTTTCTATGCTGTTAGACCTGAGGAAATTAAGTTCCTTTCACTGAAAAGTTGCATGGGATGTGAGAAGAAACCGTAATAAAATGTATTCACAATATACAAGTATAAAAATATCTTGCTTATGATTCAGTACTATAATTTAATAACTTTTTGTTGTTTCATAGGTATCTGGGAAAGGTACAGACACATGTCCTGATCCTGTTACAAGAGGTAGGATGCCAGCATTTGGTACAACATTCCAGGAAAGAGTCAAAGTGATGTTCCTGTTTCCCCTGCAAAAGCAACAAAGACTATCAGCACAAATACTCAACCAATTTAATTAACAGTTACTAATATTAAATACATTAGGATACAGACTGTTTTTCTGGTCCACTGACAGTAAGCTTTTTATTTTTATGTAGTTACTTCATGAAGTAATACCTACTTTTTTTTTTTTTTCCCCCTTAACTCCTTTGGAGTTGAGTGCATCACAGAAACAATTCCAATAATAGTGAAATCAGAAACCCAGAAGATTCAACAGGCTGACAGAGTATCAGACAGAATATAGGTACCTTACCACATCAATAAACATGCATATAAAACACAAAGTATAAGAGTAAATCAAGATACCATGAATAAGAGCAATAAAAAAAAGGATTTACTTACTTGAGACCATTTCCATCATCAAAGAAAAAGTACTTCGACTTCATGTCTTTTAGGGACAGCCTTGGGTTATCTCCTCTCAACATGATTTTGTCCCAGAGGACCACTTGATTTAGAGCCTAAAAATACAATTATAATTAAGTCAGTAAGGTACCTTACAGGATCACATTCAGACACTGGAATTTCATAGCATTATTTATCCGAAAACCCTTGAGTACACGCTTGCAATTCATAACTAATTTAACAAAATAATGCCTTACAGAAGGGGAATCTAGTACTGCTACACAGTGAAGTGTGGAACAGAATAAATGAAAACAACAAGGAACACCTTAATAAAACACAAGAAAGCCATCTTAAAAAGTCATAAGCTTTGGAAGACTTACAAAGCATGATGGGTTTTCCTTTTGAATTGCAAAGGTAAATAACTTTTAAAGCAATATTTATAAATAAGGGACTTAAATTGAGCTATCATGACTGCCTAAGTATTGACATTTTTCCAACTTTAAAGGAAGAAATCTCAACTTGAATTGCAAGCATAACCCCCCCTCAAAAAAAAAGGAAAAAAAGTGGTGAGATAGTTTTGTGCAGCAAGTTAAGAACCCCCTCAAGCTTTCGCTGTATCCTTGCAATATGACCACAGTAGCTTTAACTCGAATTCAGTGGCACCATGGCAGCATGGTGTTTCATTTAAGTAATTTTTCCATAGGCTGTTCCATACAGCTCCTATTAGATCAGTGAAGAGCATCTTCAGCTACCCAAAGTAACAACATCAGTAGCAACTTAAAGGATGCAACAAGGCCAATTATTTTAAGGAGTATGACAAGATATGACATGAATTACAGAGCTACAGTAACCGGTATTGGCAAACACTTCTGTGACCTATGAACAAAAGACCCACCACACCAGGCCAGACCAAAGCCACTATATTTTGTTTCTAACTGAAGTCATCTGCAGAGTGTTAGGAAAAAGTAAAATGGACAGAGAAAATAAGTGAAAAAACTCGTTTACAGTACACTATTGCAAGTGTATTGCAACACAAAGCATGTGCTACTTTTCTCCCATTCTACTAGTAACATATCAAGTCAGGTCTCATGAAGGTGAACCTCCCACCCTGCAGTTAAACTGTCAAGAAAATAACAATCACGAAGGCCAGTAAAAACAGCCCAAGCTAGTAGGAAATGCTGGTGCCTTAATTCTTCCCAGCAGAACTACAGAAAGTTTAAAAATAGCTATAGTACTAAAATGGGTAATTGCCTCAACCTTCTTTTTGATACTTACATTGTTTTTCGTTGAATATTCTGCAGACAAATATAGAAACAATTGTTTAACATTCCAGTCAAATATACTCTGCAGATGTATGCAAGTTAAGAAAAATACCATATTGTACTTACATAACCTTGTTTTACTTTTACTAGATCTGAACAGACTATGATAATTACAGAGAGTTCTTACCTTTCAATATACCTCGTCTTATTCATAAATCAGAGCACTGCCATATATTTTAATCTTATTAAAGTGACAGGTTTTTAGTTGGGTTTTTTTTGCTATTTATGAAATCTAACAACTATTTTTCTTCCAATGATTTAAGAGTTCTATATTTGACACTGTAGTTAGTAACCAGAATCCTCGGCTAGACAATTATAAAACCTTTAACATAAAAGGCATGACAGAATTCTTCAGTAAATATCCTCAAGGCAATTATTTATACTATCAGAGAACTCTAGTATCCAATTGTGGATCGAAATACAGTAACATTAAACAATATAATAATAAACAATACAAAATTGGCAGAGCGTAGGGTATTCAAAGAGCCTCTAATACCCACATTGGAGACGTTAGAAGCTGGAAAGTATTTACTATTGGAAAGGACACAAGAAATTAGAAAATTTTATTACCTACTGACAACAAAGAAAGCGCATTAGACTGGAACAAAACTCTGCTCAGATTTTTGATAAACAGTAAAGAACTGATGACTGCCATTTGAGACTGAGTATAATAACGCTGGGATTCTAAATAGCTGTCTGCTTATTTAACAATAAAATGCACCATGTGTGACTACTAAGGAAAATCCTTTTAACTCTCAATAAAGATTAGCTGTAAATTTTCTCAGTCCTCTTTAGTATTCTATTTGCCATTTTCTCAAGAATAGATTCCCTAACTAGCCTCAAAATCTGTTGTATCATCTTCCACTCATTCATCAAGACTAAATCATGTTTTTAAGCTACTAATTCAAAAGGCAAGAAAGGAAAGAATAAATTATTTAACTGCTGTCACCGCAAGAATAGGTAGAGGTATTCTACTTGAACATTGTTTGTCATCTAGCTGAAAATAACAAACAAGATTCTGAAGATCCCCTTCATAGGAGGATTTCATACCACTTGCAAAAGTTAGCAACAACTTAAGTAAGCTTAAAGGAGTTCGTGAAAACTGTATCCTTTCCTTTCCTTTGCCTAGTTTATTTTTCTAATTGCCACTTTATTTAATTTTTCCCAGGACTAACAACTTGTTTCCTGTAGTTAAGAGAGCCCATGTACCTGTATTTCTTTAAAAATTTTGACTAAAAAACCCTACCAGATAGTTGCATTTTACAGCTCTAAACACTGCAAGGTTTATTTATGTCAGGCATGAAAGATTAAGTCAGACTCTTTATCAAAAAAAAATAAAATTACTGCTACTATTAGAAACCATTAAACCATGGAACCTTTATGCTCACATATTGCAGACTAATCCTTGTATGAGAACATTTCTTTTAGAGGTCCTGTCCTGCCTTGCTCTGCTTCTACCTATATACACTACACACAAATCCATGCATCTATTTTAGAATTTCAGACTCTGATTTTAATATGTATAAGCATTTAATAGGTAAAACTCAGACTCAGGAGCTTACCTCTCCTGCTTCCATCTGATAAAAAAAAATAATCCTCTTATTGCTGTGCAAGACAGACCTGCAAAAATCTGATTTAGTCTGTCCAGCATTCATTATCAATGTTGTATTTTGTGTGGTTTGCTTACAGAACATAGCGTTCTTCAAAACAGGGAAAATGAAACACAAAGGTAATCAATGTCTTGCCTAACAGTGACAAAAAACAGTAGACAGGGAAAAATCCCAGCAATCTCAGTCCAGCTGCAAAGCAAGGCTTAGTGTAATCATCTGAGGTAAAGCATGCTGCCTCATATTTGGTACTGACTTCTGCAGGAAAACACAGATTTTTCTCAAGAGCCTAAATTCTAAGGATAATTCCCTTCTAGTGTCTAAAAACTTACTCAACACAAATGAAAAAAACCCAGAAATGCCCACAACACAATTCTCTTTCCCCAGTAAAACCCAGGCTAAAAGGGAAGCAAAGAAATACAAAAGAAAACTGCAAAACTGTAATAGTAATTGAGAAAGAGGACAAAAAATGTGATAAATTTTGTAGTACATCATATGCTTCCCAATGAATTTCATACTATTAAATGCTAAATATTAGAGAGTATAACACCTAAGCAAGTAAAGGATTACAATGGTTTGTTTATTTTTAAAAGAATATAGGTACTTCTATGCAACTAGAACTTTAAAAGCCTCATGACAAAATGAGTTTGAAAGGTGCATCAGTTTCTAGATTTGGTATGACAATCACAATAGTATGCTATATAAACTCTATCATTAATTCACTCCTCAAACCACCAATATAAACTTCACTCAATAGTAATACTGTTCAGATGTTAAACTGCACTTGCCATTCACTATTTTAAAAGCAGGCATTAAAAAGAGAAAGCAACTTGTCATCTACTAGAGACCAAGCAGCTATTTTATTTCACTGCCATAGCTATGCAGAATACTACTTTTTCCTGCTTTAAATTTTATTTTAAGACAAATTGCTAGTTTCCCCATGTCCCGAACATGTGAAGATTATAAGGTAACAAAAATAGACATCAAAGTGTTCTTATTTCAAAAGCTGGAAAAACATTTTTTCCATTAAGGATATCTGCAGTAATGTCAAATGTGACAAATCCCAGATCACTTCTTTCTCTAGGTCCAGTGAAATCTTCTACATTTTTTCTAAGACAAAACAAAACACAAGATTAATCTTTCTCATTATTTGTCTTTTACACATTACATAAATTATGACTGTTATCAGATATTTCTCTCATCCATTTTCTGTATTTTGTTTTAAACACTTTTGGCTAAAACATAATCAACATGACAAACTATCACCTATCTTCCAGAAATTAAGATGTCCTAGTTTTGAATGACAGGCCTTGCCAGCGTACTGGTCTAAGACATACATGTAGCCTACAGACCTTTTCCTCTTAACAAAAATCTGTACCTCCCTGTATCTAAACCGGACTACATTTCATTTTAGTAAAATATGTGTTAGCCATGCCCAAATATATAAATCTGATTGGAACACCGTCAGCATAGCTGTCTCCTGGCAAGCATTTTCAATATTATTTCTCAACGTTCCACAAAAAAAAAAAAAGCCTCTAGTGCTCAGTCTTGTACAGGACACTCCAACCATTCCGATAAATGAGTTTAGGTGTGTAGTTCATACAAGTTTTGAGATTTATCCCTGTACAGTATAAATAGCAACATAAAGAAAATGCTTATTTTCCTCTGCATTATGGAAAATCATATCATTTTGGAAGGCTTCATTAAAAAGCCACATTTGGAACAATATCTGACCTTGCCATACTAAACCGCAATAGAAAAAGAAACTGGAAAAAAAAAGAAACAGACACACGGCAGATATTTCCATAAGTACTCATAAAGCTTATCAATTTACCCAACTTACCCTCTACAAAGAGGAATACTATAAGCAATCAGCTTGACAATCAGCTACAAATCTTAATTCCTAATGTAACAAATTTTTTACTAATTATGAACTTCATAGTTACATTTATTCCAGTTTGGAAAATAATGAATTAAAATATAATTTTCTTAAAAAACTAAGTTTGGTAATTTAAAAAAAAAAAACAACAAAAAATCTGTTTACCAGCGGACAAAACACTTTTGGGGACACTAGTTAAGAAAAACACCACCAAAACTTCCTGATTTAAGTCTTGCTATGAATTTTCATTCCTTTGCAAAAAGCAGTATCTTTTGAAGTAGTAAACCTTATCAAGCACTTGACTTCACTTCTTAAGCACTGCCAATCTTGTGCAGTAGCAGGCCCTAAGGCTGGGGTCTGCAGAATGCAGAAATTCAAGACAAGCAACTGAGGTGTAACATCTCTCAGTAATACCAGACCTGTGCCTCACAGACGGCACTAGCAATATAAATTTCATCCAAATTAGGCATTAGCATGCTAACTCATATACACTGAGCTCACCATAAAACTCACAAATATGCTTTTTATGCCAGTTTTATGTTGTTTGCAATCCTCAGTCTAGCTTAAATATGAAGTTTCTTTTCCTGTGGTATTAAACCACGCTGAAAGGCGATGGCAGTCCCCACTCTCTATCTGCATTCATCCGCCCTCTCAAATCCTGCTGCTAGTCATCCAATGGTGCCACTTACCTTCGAGTGGCTCCAAAGCTCCACAGAATCATCACAGAATCATTGAATGGCCTGGGTTGGGAGGGACCTTTAAGATCACCTAGTTCCAACCTCCCTGCCGTGGACAGGAACACTTTTCACTGGACCAAGTTGCCCAGAGCTTCATCCAACCTGGCCTTAAACACTTTCAGGGATGGGCTGCTTTAGCTCACTAATCTGGGCCCAAACCAACCAAACAAAAAAACATTAGCTGAGTTAAAGCAGTTCACTGAAGTGTCCTACAAGCCTGATTCCCCCGTGGAGCTCTGGTAAAGGGCCATGTGGCCAGAAGCGGGACCAAAGACCACTCTCTGGTGGCAGTAACAACTGCTCAACTGCGTGTGAAACCATTGCCTTCCACATCATACATCCTTAACTTGGCGGAAGTGTCCTAGGACAAAACTTCTCTTCCGAGAAAAAAACAAACACAACAAAACACCACCAAAATTGAAAAATAAAGGTTCCCCAGCACAAGTTTGCATCAGAACATTTTGTCTGTGGGCAACACACTTTTGATGTGGTATTATGTGTCCTACATCTGGTGCCTCTCGCAGAAGAGAAGCCATCCCAGTCAATCTACTTGTCACAGACAAGAAAGGACGATAGGCTGTCAACAGGGAAATCGGAGGGAACTACAGATTAGCAGGAAAAGGCACTACGACCGGATGACCTCAGGATAATTTGTATGCTCCTCTGGGTCCCTGCCTCCCCAGACCTGCCGGCAGCAGTTCTCGACTCGGCCGTGACCGCCGCTCCGTCCGAGCGGCGGACGTTGGGCCCCGCGAGCCCGGCAGGGCCGGAGGGCGCGGGCGGTCCCGCACCGCCGGCCCTGCGGGGAACGCCCGGAGCAATCCGCCCGGCCCCGCCGTCGGGGCTCCCCCATTGGCCCGGGCGGGAGCGCGAGGAGGCCGCGCACGGGGCCGGCCCGCGCCGGGGCCAGGGACAGCTGCCCCCGCCGGGCATCAGGGTCCCTCACCCGCCCCGGCGCCGTGCCCGGCGCCCCCGAACCCTCCCCTCCGGCCGCCGCACGCCCCCTCGCGCGCTCCCGCCCTCTCCGCCCGCGCCACAGCGTGACCCGGAGACGCGATGCTGACGGGCACGCTGCCGCTCCTGAAAGCGGGGTGAGAAGCACAAAGGGTGAGCGCCGCATCAACGCCAGGGAAGAAGGCGAAGAAGCGAGTTGGCCCGGGACAGGCACCGTGTTCATGTTCCTCCTGCCGGGCCCGGGCCGGGACTGCGACCTCGCGACGGGGGACGGGCGCGCGGACGCGGCAGGAAACGGCGGCGCGCGGCGCAGGGAACGGGCGCGCGACCGCCAGCGGGGGGGCTGGCTTCGTGCCGGCTGGGCGGGCCCGGGAGAGGCGGGGCCCCCCCGGCAGTGCCGCCCGCGCATGCGCCAGCCCCTCCCGCTCGCCAGGCGGGGGCGGGCCGCGTGGGCCCGGCTCCGACATGCGGCGTCGGGGGTCGGGGTTCGCTTCCGTGTCTGCGCCTCAGGGTCGGGCCGGACCTTCTCTGGTACCGCTCACACTGGGGAGTCCGCACAGAGAAAGGTTGTATGGCCTTTGGCTGTGGCGTGCCAAACCTGACTGACTTTCATAGCACTGCTCGTACGGCACTTCTGCGTACGTCTGGTGTACAGAAGAGAAAAACACATGGAGACTGGACGTGCCCGCTCGGTTCCGTCCCGCTTAGCTGTCGGTGGTTTATTTTCCCTGTCTGCCCTGCGTGGCCGTGGGAGGTCTCTGGTGTGGCGGGCCCGGGGCGGAGGCACAGCCGTGTGCCCTGGGAGCGGCCCCGGGGGACCTGCCTGCAGCTCTCCCCATTAACAGCGGCAGTATATATGTTCTTGTCCTAGTTTCTTGGTAACTTTGAGGAAATGAAGGGTTGTTGCGTACTGGAGCATTTTCTTTTCTGAACTGTTTGTCACCTGTTGTGTTTCCAAGGCATTGGTTTTTAGAGTCAGGTTGGTATTTGTTCCTCTGGTGGATTTTTTTCGTTTTTGTAATAAAATGTAAATAACATTAGAGGTGAAGGCTTGTGTTTTCACTTGAAGTCTGTATCTTGCTTTCACTGGTACTGTGATTTGCCATTCCCTACCTTGTTTCCTGTAGGATGTTCCTATTCATTTCCACATTTTTACATTCTCAGTATTGCCTAGAAACCTAATTTAGTAGCTGCGCATGTTACTGGAATACTTTTTCTTTACCAGATGGCTCGATGATCCCACATCATTTTCAGGATGAGGCAGTCTTTTACCTTACTCTGCCGATTTGGTTGAAATTCCACTTTAAAATGGTGCTATCAAAGCTTAATTTATGTAGTGAGGTGATTTCTAACTCCTCTCCAAGGCCCCTACTTGGTGCCCATTCCTGCTTCCTGGGCCTGCAACATTATGAATGTGAGAACCAAGCAGAGTGAGAGCTTCTACAATGGTTTGAGTTGAGGGTTTTTTGGTGTTCCCACCCTTTACTTTACTATATTAAGTATACCAGGCCTGATTAATGCAGATTTCTCAGGGCTGACAACAGGTGTCAGCAGTGGTTTATTTATATTTAACTTCCTCTTCCCAGTCCTAAGGTTTCAGAGTTGCAAATGCTGGAGGAGGAACAGGAGCTCAGACGCAGGGGTCTGAAAGGGTGGAAGGCCTCATGGTGACTGAAGGGATAGGAAGAAGGTGGCGACTGTCAGGCCATTCTGAAATACCTGTGTTCTGTCATGATGCTGCTATTTGTTTTCCTCCCAGTAGCCAAGAGTCCGGTCTGGGATTCAGGGAAGAAAAGTCAGGGAATGGAAAAAGAAAAAGATCATACTCATGCTTTTAGTTTCCACCCAGACCAAGTACCTGTAACGTGTCTGTTTAGCATTATTATTTAGTGTAGGGTGTTAAAGTATTTGTGGGGACTTTCCTTGCTTTTGGCACCACATGTTCCACTACGCAGTTGGTTTCTGTGTGTCCCTGCATTTGCCCCACTGAAATCAGTTTCAGGCCCGAAGAGGGGAGGCTCTTTAGGAGTGTTCTGCTGGTAAGCTCCTTACCAGTTTGCATTTGGTAATTCTCAGCCTTCCTGGTGTTCCATAAGAATTCCAGCAGCACAGAGAGCTTCTTGTTTAAAGTTTTTTGTTGGGTTATTATTTTATGCTCTTCCAAACATTAATTATTGTGATGATTTATGTACTAGAACATATTGTTATTGAAACCTTAGATAACTCTTACTGAAAAGTGGGTGCTTTTCCCCAAAATATATGAAGATTTAGAAGCATCAAGGAAGCTTTTACCGCTAGCAGGGGAACATAAAGGTTTCAGAAGTTGTAAAATGTCTGCTGCAATCAAAAAGATAATTCAACTGTGAACATTATTTTTTTCTTGTCTCTACAAACAAAAGGCTTAATTGCCTTTGTTCTTGCTTTTAGTTCTTATAGTTGCTGTTTAGAGTTTTTCATATTAAGCAACTGTTTAATAAAAGAAGCGGCTGTTGGGGAGAACTTAAGTAACTAAGGCAGAACTTAGAGGAGTTAAGTTTTGAAATTTCCAAAGCAGTAGTCAAGTACCAAAATCAAAAGGTTTTTTCAAAGTCATGTGTTTTTAAGGCAATGAATATGGCTGTTGCTTGTGTAGGTTTGGATTTATTTTAGTAGAACCTTTCAATAAATGTCACTTAAAAGCACATTATGCAGGGGAAGACAGATGGTGTAGTTTATTCAAGGATTGATCTGTTACTGTTTCAGAATAAAGAAACCTTCTATAGCTTTTTAATGACTGAAATTTTTAAAAATCAAAATAGGAGAAATTTTGAAACAGAGAAGGCAGTTGTGAAGGAAGAAGAGAAGATAATTATTCGCAATAGCTGTTTGCTTGTACATTCCCAACTGTTCTGTGAAAAATATAAAACTGGTATTTTGTAAAGAATAGTGACATAATATTAATGTTGAAAGTCACTGTCAGATAAATAAGTTATGCTACTCTGAATGGATCAAATGCTATAATTATGAAAACAAATTTATAGAATCTTGGGGAGGCAGAAGGGTTTGGGAGACCATTTCCAAGATGCAGTGGTATACATTACACCCTAGCAGTGTACTCATGCCAGACCAGCAGTGAACCTAAGGCGTGGCAGTGCTCAGGCTGGTTCTTATTTCAAGAAATTTTATATTTTTCATTACAAACTCATTGAACAAAATCCAGAGATAGGATTGGGAGCAGGTCTGAAATGCAGAATTCTTCCTTCTTCTATCCTTCCCCAGAATTATCCTACTTTGGAATTGTGTTTTTATGCACTCTTTGATCTGTTAAACATGTTCTTTTTTTATAATGTTGGCACTTCAACAGGATTGATCTCTGTCAGCAGCTGATGATTAGTAGGCTTCTGAGGGAGAGTAGCTTGCACTCTTTGGTTGATACATTTCTACTCAGATGTTCAAGTTACAGTATGATTCCTTTAATCATCTATAAACAAAATGTCAAGTGTTGACACTGACCATCAGCAGAGATTACTATGAGTCCTTTGTTTTCCCACTGAAGTCATATTGGTTCTAATATGAAGTCATATTGGTTCTAATATGGTACACACAGATGGGAGTGTTGGGGTGGCTGACAGTTTAGGGTGTCTGGTTTGTGAATTTCAAGTGAAGGGGAGATATTAACTTCAGCCCAGGTGGCAGCACCTTTGGTCTTCTTGGGTCTTAAGTCTGACTAATTTTGCAGGTCAAAGTTTAGGTGCCTGTAGCATCTTTGGCACCTAGATAGTTAGATGAAGACTGTATAGATAACTTTTCTGATCTAGGGATATGTATCTACTTCTTGATTTTTTTTACCAAAAATGTCTAAATACTTTCTTGAATTTGTCTTCTATTAACTATTGAAATGTTAATTCTTTAAGAGACAATAGCTACACACAGCCTCTTAGGCAACTCTGGGTAGGATGATGAAGATTAAAATAAATGTGACCACGAGCAGCTTGGGGAACTTTCGTCTCTTGCAACAGGCCCCTTTCAGTTAGCACCTCTTCTGGGTGGGGCATTTTTACAGCTGGTGTGAGAAGGCTGTGGCTAAGAGAAGTAGGCTTTTTAAACTGCATCAAAGGGGTTTTGTTTCTAACGTTCTTCTCATCTCCATTTTTTTACTTTGGATCTACAGAGTATGGAGAATAAAAAGATAAGCAAGAAGAAATTTTCACTTGCCTTCATAGTAGTATTGTGAATCCTTCAGCAAGAAAATCTCAGGGTAAATTTCTGATTTCAGAATGAACTTTATACTTTAGAACACTGTTTTATGTAGTGGCATAATATATGGCAAAATAAAACCTGTACTGGAGAAGGAGCCAAATATTCTTGGCTCCAAAATCAGTATGTTTTGGAGCCTGACAGTTAATTTTTGGCTCCTGGGAGGTTTGCCCATTCT